CTTTAAAACAAATTTAAAGTGTAACTGCTTGAAATGTGTTTTTATTTTTTTTATTTTTTACAATTAAGATTTAACTAACAGTTAAATTGAATGTACTGACTGTTGATTGTTAAATAAATTTAGACCTCACTGTTTATTATTTTAGTGAAATCACTTTCTATAAATAGGGATGTGTGCAACTACTTGTACTAAACTGCAGCTAGATGGAGTGCAATGGACAAGAATGTAGGGCTCTCAAAAGTTAAACTATATTGAACGTTTAAGGGTTAGTCCACCTTCAAATTACAAATTCTCACACAAATTACTACAAACATTTATGACAGACATTCTTCTATGGATCACAAAAGAAGACATTTTGAAAAATGTCTGGTTTTTGACCATACAATGAAAGTCAATGGTGACCAAAACTGTTGTGTTATCGTCATTCTTCAAACTATCTTATTTTATGTACCACAGAAGAAAGGAAATTAAGGATGACATGTGGGTGTGTAAATAATGACAATTTTCATTTTTGGGTGAACTATCACTTCAGTTTTCATTAAAATAAGTAATGCATATGTATGGCTCCATGCAGGATTTACTGTGCACTTTGGGGTGGGGGTGGGAGCTTGTTTTCCTGTTCCCATCCCGTCTATTACATGTAAACATTTCTGTCTTTGATGTATAGCGATGGTTTAGCAGTATGGGGACAAAGATAATTTGGCTTCCAGTCTGCTGAATGTAGGTCATTATGAGTCATGTGAAGACTCCCTGCCCCCTTTCCTCATCTCCTTCCCTCCCTCTGTCCCCTGCTCACACTTTCGTTTGTCAGGTTGGGGGGAGGTTGGGTTGGACCCTGGAGTTGTTAGCTGTTGTCTTACCCCATAATGGTAACAATCATAAAATAGTTTCCTGGAATTTATCTGACCACTAACATTCAAAACATGATAAATCACTTCTGGCTTTGTAATAGTTCGGTGTCATTTGATATGGACGTTTTGTTGGCGGAAATCATCCGTAATCTGCTTGGTAAAAAGAAATGCCGATGGTCTTGAAAGGCTTGAGAATATTTGGTTTTGCTTCTCATAATGACTCAAAATGATTGCAAATTCTCATTTTAAGGATGTTTTTACTGGATTAATTTATTTAATGCTGGTTAATCTGATGTAATGAACGTTGGAGTAAATGTCATCTTGGTTGCAAACGATGGCAGATGCTGCTGTTTATTAACATGACTAGTATTCTGGGGATGCTCCGATCAGGATTTTTTTGCAAACCGATACAGATTACAGGTTTTTATGAGAGCTCTGGCTTTTTAAAGAGCTTACAAGACTTAATGTCAAACTGAACATAATTATAACCCATATAACGTGTAATTAAACATTGTCCAATATGTGACTGAGGACAAACAAAAAGAAATGCTGCAACTACAAAATGGGTTTTCTGATCAGGAACGTTATTCCCCAAGTTCTGAGTATTTCTTCCTTCCTACGTCCTACTTAAGTAGGCCTTATTCTCTTTATAAATTCTAGCTTTTCTGTATTTTGGGAATATAGTCTATCTATTCCTCTTTTCATCCATAATGCATGCGGCTGTACTGAATCGAAATACAGCATAAATTGCATAGAGTAATCAAATGCACTGTACAAAACTGCATAATCTTCACAAAAGGGATTTAGTTGAGAGCATTGAGATGTTTGATTAACATGAATGGCAAGAACGGCAGCATCTTCTTTATTAGCCTGCTTTCACTTCAACACAGAATACACTGTTTATGTTTAGGGCCCTATGATTTCCACGATCATTGAATTGGGGACGGAATTGGCAAATTAACACGGAATTTAGTGTTAACACGGAATTTCATGGAATTTTACATATTTGGTTTGAAATTCTGTTTTTGTGTGGGAGAAGAACGTATGTCTGGTGAAAATACAGACCGGGTGACGTAAAACTGGGCGACACCCATCATTTCAGCTCCAATGACAATCAAAACAATGAAAGCATGGCGAAGGAAGCGGCTCTCCACAGCTCTGCTTTTGTCGGCAAAAAGTTAAGTAACTCAACGCTATTAGTTGTCAGTGCCGAGCAGTTCGCATGTGGCTTATGCAGTGTTTCCCACACATTGACTTATTCGCGGCCACAATATCAACTCCGGCCGCCACATTAAACGTTTCGTTCATTTTTAAACACTATTTAAAACACGCAACGTATTCTTTCAGTTGCAATTCCTTTCACCGCTCTCCCTCTGTCTCCATCACTCAAGCGTCTCTCTTACATACACACACACACACACACAAACGTGCACACTGCGTCTGTCTATGAGGCGCCGGACTGGACAGAAGTGAAGCGAACTCCGTGAGTGACACTGGGCGTGGGAGAGACAGAGGGTGACTACTCAAACTTGTATAAACTAATATAATTCATTTTATTGGACATAGGGATGCACCGATACCGATACCGGTATCTGGTATCGGCCTCGATACCACATTTTCTAAAGTACTCGTTCTCGGTAAAAGTCCCCCGATACCGGGGACCGATACCATGTTCTGAGAAATGGGTTAATCACAGGCGCCGAGTGCCCACCCCCAGGCTCCGGCTGCAGCTCAGAGCGGGGAGATGGGGAGACATGTCAGCCGTGTGGAACAGTGATGCGCGGGTCAATGTATAAACAACCCGCACACTACCAACGTTTTCAACTACCCGCCCGCTACTCGGACCGCAAAAAAGTAAGAAAATATTGTACCCGACCATCTTCCTGACCGTATTTTTTAAAAGTAGTACATGCTCATCGTAGCGTCATTGGGCCATAAACGTGTAACAACACAGCATCGCAAGAAGACGTAGCCTGCATATAACAAAGGCAGCACTTTGGTCATCATCTTTCATTATTTCGGTAAATGTCTCCCAGACTTACTCTTTCTATTTGTGTATTTGCGGAGCTTCCACTACCCAGTCTTCACCTTTTCTCTTGCCGCCTCCATCTCTCTGCAGACAAGTGATCATAGACATGGCCGGTTCGTGAACGAATCGGTTCTTTTTAATGAACCGGTCGAACCAGTACGCTAAATCGAACTGAATCATTCGCATCAGTTCACGTCTTGCGTCAGTGCTGATCCACAAGTTACTACAGTTACTCACTTTCAGACATGCCTGACAGTCCCTCCGAGTTGAAATAAACCAATATCCCGAATTATATTTTACTCCAGTAACTCTAACAGTTCACTGAACTGAGACATGTTGTTGCCACAGCTGAGAGAAGTGATGAGCACGAGCAGCTGATACTGCGCATCCGCGTAGTAACGAATGATGCGCAGTAAGTAATAAATTCGGCCTATATATTTCATAGAAAATTGTATCTAGTACTATATAAATACAAAGGTTTAATTGGCATCTTTTTCCAAACGACCTGACCGACCGCGACCCGAATATCATTAAAAATATTTTTGGATGACCCGTAACCGCGGGTGACCCGCTCATTTTGGATCAACCCGTGCATCACTGGTGTGGAACAATTTCAAAGTGAATGGCTTTGGATTAGGAGAATAAGTTTACTTGTAGTCGCCAAGTTACTTATAGTCAGTTGAATGTCTGTTGGGGGACCAAATAAATAAAGTGTTATCAGATATTAAGCTGATCGTACTAATACGTCTACTAATACTCTAATGACAGTTAGTTGACATGTAATTGAAAAGTTACTTATAGTTAGTAAAGTGGACTATCGAAATAAAGTGTTACCCAAGTAATTTAATCAAGGACCTAAAAACCCGTATATAAAAATATTTAAATCATGTTTTTTTAAATTTTTTTATTAAGTACTCGGTATCGGCGAGTACTGAAATGCAAGTACTCGTACTCGTACTCGTTTTCCAAAAAAGTGGTATCGGTGCATCCCTAATTGGACAGTTTGAAAAGCTGAAAAGGCTACTGAGTAAATGTTACCTCAGTAAATTTAAGGTCATTCCTATTTTATTTATATACATTTTAATCATTAACTTTAAAAGCACACTTTTTACGACTAAATAACAGTCAAGGGTAAAAAAAAATGAATTCCCAAAATTAAAACGGAAAAAACGGAATTTGGGAAAAAATAAAACTGATTTCATAGGGCCCTATATGTTCACTTAAGACAAACAATAGGGGTGTTGAAATTAATTTCTATGATGCGTTGCGATGTGGATCGATTCGATTATAGCCTATTGACGTTTATGATGTCATTCATCACACACGTGTTTGTCTCATTAGCGTAACGTGGCAGAGGGAGGCAAAACACAAAAGCAAGTAATAAAAAAAGCATTTACAGCGTGTATGTGTGCGTGAGCTTGTGCTTGTACGTGTGTGTCGTGTGAGCATTATTGTAACTTGAGTACACTAGACAGTTTCATGTGTTTTTAGTATTTACATGTGTTTAGTTGTAAATGCTCCTGTTGTCTGCCGTGTTCAGGCTTAAGTTTTGTGTGACTACATTCAGGAAGTGTACTTGGAGCAGATAAAATAAAAAGGAGTTCATATATCATGATATCGAATCGTTGGCATTATAGACATAATCGAATTAAATCGTGAGAGCAGTGATGATTTACACCCCTAATAAATGTCTGTGTACTCGCAAAGATGGGCATTTTGTCATGCGTGTGTGTATAAGTTACTTGAGAACACGTAATAACTCCACACTGGTGATCACATGACTGCGCCGCTCAAGTCTGATGTTATCAATTTGCTATTGGTTGGCGAGATCTCGACCTATTGTAGTGACTCCCGATCGAGTCAGAGTACTATTTTCGTCCAATACCGTTCTGTGTCCGATTGGTTGGAGCATCCCTACTAGTATCCTTAAGCTTTGGTGTTTGTTCTCATTGGCTGTTCGAGTTTAGGTGCTGCTTTACTGTACTTATTTAAAAATGTTTGCTTTTAGGTTCATGTAAAGGACATGTAGTGTTTGTGATGAGAATTGTGGTCATTTGATGATCAATTTGTCTTTCCATTACATGTAAGAAATGAGTAAGATGATCTTTGGTGTCATGCAGGTATTCGACCACCAATCCTCAATGGGCCCATGCACCCTCGTCCTCTGGTGGCTCTGCTGGATGGGCGGGACTGTACTGTGGAGATGCCCATCCTGAAGGACGTGGCCACCGTGGCCTTCTGTGATGCCCAGTCCACACAGGAGATCCACGAGAAGGTAATGTCACATAGTGGTCAACCGATACATCGCGACGGCTGATATATCGGCCGATATATTTGATCATTCTAGAAGAAAATTTCAAATGGCACTTAGAGGCTTTTGCATCTGAACTCTTCATATATATATATATATATATATATATATAGATAGATATATAAATAAATGAACAAAATAAAATAAATATTGGCTTTATATCGGCCACCCTGATCTCTCAGATTTCAGCATCGGCCATCAAAAAACCCATATCGGTCGACCACTAATGTCACATGTTGTGCCCATATCCAAGGCTTTTATACAGTCAGTATATAATGGATTTTTGTTCTGCTGCAGGTCCTAAATGAGGCTGTTGGTGCTTTGCTCTATCACACCATTACACTCTCGCGAGACGACCTGGACAAGTTTAAAGGTCTTCGGGTCATTGTGAGGATTGGCAGTGGATTTGACAATGTTGATATAAAAGCGGCTGCAGAGCTGGGTGAGTGTTGTTCCTGTGTTGTGAAATGATTATGTTTGATTGAATGAGTTTCAGTCAGACTGACCGTTTAAACTGGTTCTCCGTCTTAAACAGGTATAGCAGTGTGTAATGTGCCAGCCTCATCAGTGGAGGAGACGGCAGACACTTCCATGTGTCTAATTCTGAATCTGTATCGCCGCGTCACCTGGATGCATCAGGCATTGCGTGAGGGCACCCGTGCCTCCAGCGTGGAGCAGATCCGGGAGGTGGCTGGAGGCGCTGCGCGTATTCGAGGGGAAACGCTGGGCATCATCGGACTGGGTGAGTCCTGATCTGATTAAATCAGGGCTGGTGGGAAAACCAAGCCTTTTTGAATGAATCAGTTCTATTAAGGTGACCGCTGATGAGAGATCCAAAATCCCTTTTGTAAAAACCTATCTGTAGTATGTCAATAAAATGAAAAAAAGTATTTTGAACAAGGCTTTATCCAATTTTAGGATTTCTGTTCTGGAATTGTATGCAAATTAGTGCATGTTAATGTATATCATGCTTAACTTGCATTAGGGCTGCACAACATTGAAGAAAATAAGCTGCCTTTCAGACAGCATGCAATCCCAAATTCAGTTCTCTTTCGCAGATTATTGTGCTTTAATGGTCAAAAATAACGTCCTGGAGAGTACTCAAAGTAAACAGTTGTTTATGTTTTTATTGAACAAAAACAGTTGAGAAAGATTTGGGATGGGTTCCAGTGTTCTTGGGTTCACGCACTGCAGGTCTTAAAGTGACAGCAGCCTAATATACCTGATACAGTCTGTTAATCAAACAATAAAAGAAAACGGAAGACCGGCCACTGCTTGACTGAATACCCTAACTATATTTATTAAAGGGGTCATATAATGCCATTTTTGTACAAGTTAATACGAATCTTTGGGGTCTAAATGAAAACTTTGTAATATACTTTTATTAAAAATTCTCATTAGTATTGTAAGAAAATACTTTTACCTGGTCAAAAACAGCTCTGTTTTCAGCACGCCGTTTCAGTGCATATGCCTTTAAATGATAATGAGCTTCGCTCACTCCGCCCCTCTGTTCTGCTGGCGTTGTCACACAACGCATGTGGACTGTTGCCTTGACAACAATTGAGGGTATATTTTGGAGAAAGAATGGTAGCGGGAGTCTCTGAGGACAAATCGCGATCGTATCAGTTTGAACCGGAGTCGGACCCGGAACAAGATGATGGCCGCAAAGAAGTTCGACAATTAAGGCTCGAACAGATTTGTGTGTACTGGGAGGGTAGAGTAGTGAGATGCGAACACTGTGTTTACTGATGTATAGGTTAGTTTGTTGACAGATTGATCAACTGAACAACTTTTTTTGCGATTTGCAAAGATTAATATAAAGATTAACAAAACTTTACACTCACTTCTTTTGGAGATGTAGGGACACAAAGTTGGTAAATTAATTTTTTTTTTTTTTCAGGAGCAGCTTCTTAGCAAAAGCAGCTTTATACTGATCCTCGTTTAATGCGCGCAAGTTTCTTCGTGCTTCATAGGTTGTTGTGTATGTGTGTGACGTCGTTGCCGTAAAGCATGTCCTGATTCTTGATTGATTTGTCGGGGGCACTCTCAAACTTGCGCTGGTGGTTTTTCCAGTGGCGTCTCCCCAAGCTTTACTACCAGGATGATTCGCCATACTATGAGTTTGTTTACCACCAAAATGACTTTGAAGCTAAGGTACAATTCTTGCATATCTTTCCTTTAAAGCTACAAAAGTTTTTCCATCAAGAGCAGTAAGTGATTTTCTCTTTCTATTGTAGTGTGATTTAACATTAAGCACTAAAGACAGAATCAGGTTTATAGGGATGCTGTCACTTTAAAAGCTGAACAAATCCAATATATTGCTACACACACTTTCGGTCTCAACTCTTTACTCCGCTTAAGACATGAATGTCATGAAGACATGAAACTATATATGTTTACATGAATACTCAGCAAGATTTGCTTTTCACACTTTTGTGTGTATTTGGCTATATAAGCTGTGGAAGAGAACTGAAATCAGGATTATGCGCTGTCTGAGATGTGTCTTCCTCTGCGTGTGAATACTTTGCTTATTGCGCCTAATAACATTTACCATGTCACACGTGTAACAGTATATTCTCTGCTATCTGCATCAACCTAAAACTTGGACTTTTAGTAATCTTTTGAAGTATTAAGATTAGTTATTGGAAGCCATTGCAACATGCACGTGATATTTTGATAATTTCTTTTTATTGTGCAGCCCTAATTTGCACATTTAAACAACATTTCAGAAAGCTTGTTGTATAAAACAAAATGTAATTCTTAATGTAAATTCAACTGGGGAAGTTTGTTTTTTTTCTTGCCTTAAAATGAAAATCAGTGAGTCAGATTTGAGATTAGTAATGTGGTCGAAACTGAGCTAAGACTGAAACGGTTTCTTATGATGGATGTTTTTAGGACGTGTGGGCCAGGCAGTTGCTCTGAGGGCAAAGGCTTTCGGGTTTGGAGTGATTTTCTATGACCCGTACCTGCCGGACGGGGTGGAGCGATCACTAGGGCTCCAGCGCATGGCGACACTACAGGACCTGCTCATCCACTCGGACTGCGTCTCGCTACACTGCAGCTTAAATGAACACAACCACCACCTCATCAATGACTTCACCATCAAACAGGTACAAATGCAGCTCTCCAGTAACACTCTTCTCGTTTAAAAGCACTGTTGAAGCCGTTTGGTTCTCTGACTGCTTTTGGTATGAACCTGGGTCTATTTGACATCAGAGTTTGATTAATTTGCTCTCTGTGAAAGCTGTTTCCTGAACTTGGGTTTATGCGATGGGTCCGCACCCCATTCTGGAAAATGAAGGACTGGAATATTCATCTTGTTCATGTGAACTCAAGTATGGCTCACAGTTGGTATGAAGGCAATCTGGCCTAATTTCCAGAAGTAAACTGCCTGTGTGTATTACACAATTATTCCCAAGATAAATGGTAAAAGGTTTACTCTTCCAGCACAACTGTGGTAGACACGCACATATTGTCATCTCTGTCTTAAGGAACCTAAAATTAGCAAAATACTGAAAGTGATTCGATCAAAAGTCATTACTAAGCTGTAGTTGCTGCTATTAAGTGAACACACTTTTTGAGTGCTAAATGGCATACTCTTGGGGAATATTGCAGAAAGCATGTTTAACTTACTGTCCCACAAACCCTGTAGTCTTGGTTGATTAACCCAAACCTTTCTTACTCGCGTATATCAGTTCCAAAGATCCATCATGATAAACACACAAAGACATTCTCAACAGCGTGCCAAATACAGGAGTCAACATGGAAATAGACACTTAATTTGAAGTGTGACATACTTTCTGTTTTTTGTTTTTTTTTTGTCCATAAAATGTCCATTTTATATTTTTTTGTGCATATCACCACCTGCTGGGTGGTTGGACAATCATTTTATTATCTCAGGTTTTTTTTATAAATATAATAAGAATTTTTTTTTTGTTTATACTAAATGCATGAATAACAGAAAGATTGACTAAACTAAAACAGTCTCTTGTCTCTTGCAGTCTCTTGCAGAGTCATTTTGTTACATGTGTTGTAAAGTGAGATGTATCATGTATTTTTATTAAAGAAATGCATAATATAGAAAGCACTATTTTGCAAAAATAATTTAATGTATTTTAATGAAAATAAAATAAAAGTAAAATAAGAAACATTGTGTGGTTATAATGCTGCTTTATAAAGATATCAATTAAACTATAAAATATGGAGCAAAATCTGTCATGCCCATGGCCCTGAATACCTCTGAAGTAAACTTATGCTATGTTCGTAGTTGCTATATCTACTTCCAAACCCTGAAAGTTACCTCCGTTTGGGAGGGCTGTCACTAACAATTATTTTGGTAATCATATAAAAAAAAATTGTTAATAAAAATAGACCTAACCTTACAATAGCCTTTAAAATGACTTAAAATACATGTATAATAACAACGAGGCAATAATATTTGGTTCAAATAAAGTATCTAAAGCCAAAAAATCATATGGGTATTATAGAACAACACTGTTGATGTTTATAATATACATAATATAAATAAAACAAATCTGCACCTCATATATATATATTAAACTGCAGGGCATATGTTGATTTTAATTGAATTTCAGCCATTGTAAATTCACAATAGCATTATGCTGTAGTCTGTTTTTTAAATGTGTTTTAATATATTATGCAGCAGTAGAAAACGGTCTAATAATGCTGATCATGGTTCCTCGTCCATGGAATGCATAATTTCCGTTGTTTTGCAGGTTACCCGACACAGGTAAATTTGCTTCCTTTTATTATATATCATCATAGTTTTTTTGTTGTTGTTTTTGTAGATGCGCCAGGGCGCCTTCTTAGTGAACACTGCGCGTGGTGGTCTGGTGGATGAGAAGGCTTTGGCCCAGGCTCTGAAAGAGGGAAGAATACGGGGAGCAGCGCTGGACGTCCACGAGACAGAGCCCTTCAGGTGAGAGAAACAAGTTTCCTTTTTGCTTTCATTATTTATTGTCCAATAACTTCACAATCCATGTTCAAGGATTGGCCTGTGATGACCCCTTATGGCTCGTTTCCACTGAGTGGTACGGTACAGTTCGGTTCGGTACGCAATTATTTGCGTTTCCACTGTCAAAAGTTGTGAATGGTACCAAAAAGCTGAAACGTACCGTACCACTTTTTGGGTACCCTTCTGTTGATGTACTAAAAGGTGGAGCTAGACTCACTGCAGAACGGTGATTGGTGGACAGAGTATCGTCACTCGCGCGTGCTACAAGGGAAGCATACGGTTGAAATATAATACTACTGTTGTTGTGTCACGAAATGTAGTTTTAAGAGTTTTTCAGGCGATAAAGTAGTTTTTTAAAGCTCAAATCTGTGGTTTATTTATAGATTTAGGATAATTTGACTGAGATCCGTTCCAATCAATCATCGGACGCTCGCGCTCGTGTCCCCCGCCTGGAACAGCCTTTCCTCGGCGAGTCGTTCTGATGTCTTCCGCTGACTCGGATGTCTCTGTAGTGGTTAAACATGAGATATAGTTCGTCTTGTATAAACCTAACAGGTGATCTTTGGTCTCGTGAATCTATAATTCGTTCCCTGGCCAATAATTTTGGCAGAAGGCTACGTGAAGTTTCATATCTTTGAGCGCTGAATTATTTGACTGACTGACAATTGTTTCTTGATGTTATTTAAGCTTTACTGTATATCTTTTTGTACCTTTTACTTATACTTTTATAATGGCGATTATTGATAAAACTGAAATTCAACAAAAAGAGAGAGTTTTGTCTTTTTTTTTTTTGTCATTTTATTATAAGATCATCTGTAATGTTGTTTATTGCAACATTTGTACCAATGCGATATGCAATACATTACATTACATATTGCCTGGAATATGTTTAATATTTTGAAATTTAAATGAAAAGAGCCAGGGTTGTTTTATATTTAGTTTTGTCATAAATATAACGTTAACTTGCATGCATGCAGTGATAATCAATAGGCTATGCGTTGCCTGAACCACATTTGTGTGCTTTAGAATGTTTAAAATGTATTGAAATGAAATTGAAAAGAAGCAGAGTGGTGTTTTATAACATATTTCGTTTTATTGTTGCCTAAAATGAACATACAGAGAAGAGATAACCAGAGTCGCATAGCCAGAGCGAGCTGAGTGCCGCGTTCAAGAACGCGCTATTCCATAACAGAATTACTGGACTCGCGTCCTCGAGATCATTCTCCTGAGTCGGACTTTGCGTTGGCTTCTTGGAAACGCCTAATGCCAGCGCAGGCAGCGCTTGTTTCTAGTGACAAACATGCCGAGAAGCAAGAACAAGATCTGCTGTCTGTCATCCATTATTGTTTACTATGTCGCTTTCTTCGCGCGAAAATGACGTCGATCACTTCTTTCCAGCATACCACGCCTATCAAGTAAGGGTACTGTTGCGGTGGAAACGCAAGCCTGATCATGGTGTACCCGACACGTACTGTACTGTACCGTACCCCTCAGTGGAAACGAGCCATTATACCCACCCCAATCCCACACACACACAAGTATTTTCTTTATTTTGTTTTGTTTTTTTCTTAACGTGACACTAACCACATTTTCTTGATCAGTTTCTCTCAGGGCCCACTGAAGGACGCCCCAAATCTTATCTGTACCCCACACACATCCTGGTACAGTGAACAGGCCTCCATTGAGGCCAGAGAAGAGGCGGCACGGGAGGTGCGCAGAGCCATCACAGGTCAGAAAACACCAGGTGTTCATTATCAGCCTGTGCCTGCTGGGAATATCTACTCGATTAAATGCTTTGCAGGAGGATTCACTTATTTTATTCTATGCGTGTTTGACATGCTTTGAACACTTATCATAGAATAAACTAGTAATACAAAACATTTAAGTATCCTTACATGTGCAGTCATAGTTGAGCTGCAGCAGGTTTTTGTGTGGATTTTCAGATTAAGACTGTCATTTAAGCACATGACACAGTGCTTAAACAACGACAAGGCCAGCGTGAATTAGGCAACTGAATTTTGAAGTTTTGTAACTTAAGAAACATGTTAACAGATCATCAAACGTATTCACAGCCAAACTATTGGCAATGTAGCTACATTCATTTTTATTATTATTTCAGTATGGAGTTTTAGCGTCTGCAATTTTACCTCTTTAGAAATGATCGAGTAAAATCGTCAGTTTTCTGTTTAAAACTGTTACAGATGGGTGTGGTGTTGGTTAGGGGAGCTTAAAAAGCATGTTTTAGTTAAAATTACAAGTTAGTTAAAATGGCCTTGCTCTCCCTGAAGAGATATTAAATACCATTTTTGTATGCTGGTGTTTTTGCTGTCACCACCTTTCACTATATCATACATCTGTGGAGTAATTTAAGAAATCATTGTGGAAATGCAGATTAAAATAACTTATTAAAATACTCCCAAATCAAACAAAAGCATTTTTCTTAGCTGGTTCTATCAGCATAAAACCCTGAGTGTTTATCACCTTTTCTTGTGTTGAAGCTGTATAAGGGGCTGTTTACACCTGGCCACTTCGTCATATCTGACTATAACACAGGGGTCGGGAACCTTTTTACCAAGAAGAGCCAAAAAAACTAAACAAAATTGAGAATTTTTTCAAAAGAGCCAGAGCAAAGTTTACACTCGTATATTAGACAAATTTACAACAGTAATATATAATAACAACAGTAGTTTAATACGACTTGCACTAGTAGCAGTTCTGGTAGTTATATAACGTTACAACAACACTTTTTTCCACAAAAAAATAAAAAATAAAATTGTGTGTGGGGTGGGGCTGACTAGCTTTCGCGAGGCACATAACATACGCGCGTGTTATGCGCGCAGCATGTTCTATGTCGCTCTATTCCGTGAGATTTTAACTAATTTTCGGGCATCAGGGAGACCGGAGACGCTCAATATGCTTCCGGGAGACTTGGGATTTCTGATATTTTGTTCACTGACATGCTGGTTTCTTAGCACACTGGACGAGAAGCGCAGCGCCTCATTTAAAATTCAAACACTTTTTTCTATGACTCCGCCGTTTACACCTGGCCACTTCAAGCGTTTTCTGAGATCGGATAGCGATCCGATCGTGAAAAGACCAGGTGTAAATGCCCCCCGAAACGCATTTGAGACGGATTTGAATCGATCGCTCAAACCACTTCAGGAGGTGGTCTGGGCCGCATTCCAGACGAAACTGGACATCGTGTAAATGCATCTGGTTGTTGAAACCACATATGTAAATTTTACTCATCCCCAAAATGCTAAGAAACAAACGTGTGAGAGCGTATTATAGGCTATATGTCATGCTATTTTAGTCAGATATGACGACGCTACTGCGACACGCATTACCTCAGATGAGCAGCTGAACGCCAAGCCAACGCGCCGCATCGCAAATCAAAGTGAAAGTAAGATGCAGACGATTAACACTACCATAAAAGTAGTCTAAAGAAAAGAAATGATCTTACCAGGACTGTTGCCGCTCTCTTTATTGCTGTCTTTGCTTTTTTTGAAATTAGCCAAAGATCAAATTTCGGCTCATATCTGTTGCTTTCGGTGACGCGCACTTCATTAAATCTGCATAGCGCGTGAATTGAAGATCGGATTTATATCCGTTTTGCAAAAACACATTTATGTGACCAGCGTGTAAATGGAATCGTTTTGATAAATCAGATAGCTATCCGATTTGAGAAAACGCATGAAGTGGCCAGGTGTTAACAGCCCCCTAGGAGTGGTGACCGGCGGCACATTCAGTGTCTGTCCGCGGCGCCCAGCAACGGCTCAGCAGAACCTTGTTCGAAATCCTGCTTTGCCACAGAGTGCCATTTACATAGTTTTATATAAAATTTACTTTTATTTGTATCAAACCGTCGTTAATGTAGGCTACATACTGACTTCACTGTGTGCTGCAATTTATATTTACTTTTACATTCATTTTCAGAAATCAGCTGCTTAAATGAGAATTGCTGAGGTAAAGTGTTCTGCAGACTTCAACGATTGTATTTAATTGTACAGTACAATTATAACATAGTACAGACATTATCTTAATTCCATAATGTCTTTAGTTTAAACATTACAATATTGCCGGCCATAAACTTGCGCGTCCGGTGTGCAATAACGTTACCTCTTTCCTAGACGCGGCGCGCGCTTCTCGTCCGGTGTGCGATACTTCTGTCCTAAGACGCTTCTCGTCCGGTGTTATGACACCACACAAATTGAGAAACGGGCATCATAAACAAGTGATTAACAAGTGCTGCATGGTGCATCTCAAATTGTCTCTTAATATTTTACTTTTTGAGAGACTTTTTCAGTCAGCATTTGAAAATTGGGAGAGCCATATAAAATCCTGAAAAGAGCCATATATGGCTCGCGAGCCATAGGTTCCCGACCCCTGCTATAACATGACATAGCCTATAACACGCTTTCACGCGTTATTTTTTTTAGCATTTTTGGGAAGAGTAAAACAAATGTGGTTTCAACAACCAGATGCACTTACACTTGTCCAGTTTCTTCTGGAATTCGCCCCAGACCACCTCCTGAAGGGGTTTGACCGATCGGATTCAAATCCATCTCGAATGTGTTTCGGAGGGCATTTACAAGTATGAATGTCACAGTGTCTTTGATGCAAGGTTTTCATTCATGGTCCATGCTCTCTTGTGTCCGTGCAGGTCGTATCCCGGACAGTCTGAAGAACTGTGTGAATAAGGAGTATTTGATGGCAGCCTCTCAGTGGCCGTCTATGGAAGCCACCACCGTGCACTCTGAACTCAACGGAGCTGCAGCCTATAGGTGACTACACCCCTTTCCCGACTGCTATTAGATGTGCTCCAGTATGTCCGCATGTTGTTTGAGAGAGTAATAGCTGATCGTCTCTCTGTCGTAGGTTCCCTGCGGGGCTGATTGGTGTCGCAGCGGGCGGGCTGCCTGGAGCCGGGGCAGGAGTGGAGGGCATTGTGGCTGGATCTCTGCCCCTGGCCCACGCCATTGCCCCGGTCTCACACCCGCCTCATACCCCATCGCCTGGACAACCCTCCAAGGCAGAGGCGGACAGAGACATCCCTTCTGACCAATAGCATCCCAGCACATTCCATCTTTGCCCTGATTGATGCCCTTTCACCTCACCCAGGGGGACCGACACACCTTGCTTTCAGTGTGATCTTGGGTCACCCCAGTCCAACAGAACACATGTACAAACCCAGGAGTGAAACCCTCTACCCCAAACGTACCCCTCATTTCCACTCGCTGTATCCTCCGTTGATCACTCTGGCAAAAAGCAATAACTTCTCTCAAGGATTCAATAATTGGGTTGAAACACACTATTTGTAAGCTACGAAATCCCAATTCCTTTGCATTGTGTCTACTCTGGACTAGTTGGAGTTTATTTCCGAGTAGTGTTTCTTACATTTTGTTCTTTTCTAATCTGTTTTAACAGCGTGGAAATAAACGCATGGACCTTGTTTTCTTTCCTTTGTCCCCTGCCCATTCTCCTCTTAGCTTAAATTTGTAAAACCTTCTCAACCTGACCCATCTCGATCATCAAAACAAAGCAACAGCTGGCTAACATATTTGATTAAATTCAGCAGCCATCAGTGTTTATTTCACAGCTGGTGTTCAAAAACACAGAGGTCAAGGCTAATGGTGATAGCCCGTGGCTAAGAGTAACTCGGTCCATGGGAAGAGCTCGGATGTTTCGCGTGTTTCTCCAACTCTCTCTTCATGTGGAAGGCATCTTCTAGAATTGTCCATCATCTCTCCCTCTCTCTCTCTCTCTGTCTTTCACAAAACGAGAGATTTACCCCCAGAGCTGTTGGGGGTTTGATCATGTGCTCCACTTTAAGTCACAAGATTTACAGCGTCCGCAATGCCCGAGGTCTGCATAACGGTGTCATTGAAATTGCATATGTGAGATTCCATCGTCTTGTGATGGCTGACCTAATTTTATTTTGTGTCGCCCGTTGTGCTGCTTTGTGAACGGCTAGATATTGCTCGTCGGCTGCCATCGTCATCGACTAAAGTTTCAAACAAAGCCATAATCATTTGACAAACTGTACAATAGCTGGTTTAACAAAACATATCTAGAACATCCCAAGTCCCCCTCCAAAAAGAAAACAAACAGATGCCCTTTTTACAATGTGTGTACAACATTGACCTCCCCTTGACTCATACTGAGATCCACCATTGCTAAGCTGATAATATTATTGGCACCTTTTTATTCTTAGCCATTTGAAGAATATTTGCCTTGTTTTCCATATCTTCTCTCTGTCCTGGATTATCTCTTGCTGTACTTCCTCCTTGTGCCTCCTTTTCCGACTAGGCCTTCTCTTTTTGACGTGGCGAGGCACACCGTTCCACCCTTCATATCTCCGCTCTCGTCCTCTCGCCCCCTCCATCGATTCCCATGAAATCACTGTGTAGCGCGTTCGCCTGCCCTGCCCTTCCTCCTTTCCACAAGGCACTTAAACTCTTAATACACTTTGTGATACGTTTTCATACAGGCCTGATAAAACAAACTGAACTTCATCCACCTTTTTGGGAGGAAGTCCTGGTTTAGGCGAGCTGGGGCTTGTGTGCTCTGGAAGCTGCAGTAACGTTGATGGCCAGCGGGTGGCGACGACTCGCTTTCCCCCTCAGGTTTGGGCTCGGCCGATGCTTCTCGTGAAGGTTCAGACCTGTTGTGGGCTGCTCGATCTGTCACTCATCTACACACTTCCAGATTCTCAGGATGGGTGATGTGGCAGCTCTGAGGTCATACCCCGAGCTTGACTCTTGCATGGGCGTCTTCTATGATATCAGCCTTTGTTTTCTCTGCGTTTTTACCATTTTAGAGCACAGAAGATAAGGTGGAAAGAATGTAAAAGCTAGGTCACGCTGAAACGCTGGTTGCTTTCCAAAGAAGGTAGGAGAGCGTCTCGGTCGGGATAGCGTTCTGTCTGAAGAGAAAGGCCTTTCTAGTACCTCAGTAACAGATATTGAATGTATGCTCAAATCTTTCTCGCTTTGTACAGCTTTTTTAGATCATAGGTTCCTATTTGTGAGGGGGTGTGAATGAGTCTGCATGTATGCGACCCTGTGCGACTGCTTATCCAGTACTTCAGTTAATTTGCAAATGACGAAGCTTTTTTTTTTTCCAAGCATAGGATGTCTATTATTATTGTTTCATTAGATTTAGTTTGAATCTCAGGCTTTAGCTTTAGAAAGTTCTTGATCTGTGATTTTTTTTTTTTTTTTTTTTTTTTTTGTTTTTTGTAATTTTCTGTATAAAGGAGCACAGTTTCACGTCTTTGTCGACATGTATGTTAATAAACTGAGAAGAGGGGTCCTAAACCGTTTGGAAATGGCAGTAGTGTGTTTGGGGATGTCGATCCGCCTACAAACAGCTCGTTCTAGATAGGTGATGTTGTGGTAAGTGTCCCCAGATGGCCGTCGTCCTCGATCGCCAATCCTCATGGATTAATGCATGATAATGAGTTGATCGTACCTATCAGGCCCCTCCCCCTCGTGTCCCCATTGGCCACGTTTCCATGTCGAATTTTGATTGACGTGCAGCTTTTCATAGAACGAAGTGATGCCCTTTCTCGTCAACACTTTATAGCTGCTCTGTAAAATTTCTCTGTTCTACAAGGTTTTTGAAGTTTCTTCTAGCATTACCGTGGTGTTTCTTTGCCGTCGGCGTCATCTCCGATATGAGATGAGTGCTATGTGTTAACCAAGAAATTAGACATTTTGATCTAGTTTGTGTCATTCAGTGTTCAACATGTTGTATTGAAACATTTCAAGATGAGTCTCGTTCGATACTTTCGCCCTCGGCATCCGGGAATCCCGTTTCTCGTCTGAAGGCCCCCGTCATCTTGTGGTCCCCGCGCTGCCTTAATGTTGTAGATAGTGGCGGGCTTCTTTTTATTTTGTCTCTACAAACTCCCGATCTCTCCTCTTCCCCCTGCAAACACACATGCAAGAGAGAGGAAGCTGATTTATTTAGCCATATGTTGCTCTGTGTGCTTGTGTGCGCATATTTCTAGGGAACACGAATGGCTTTGACTTTGAGGTGTGAAATGCTCGGGCACTATGAAAGACCCTTTCAGGAGCCTCTGATGTGGTTACATCTAGTCCATGAAGGGAGGTTGGAGAGGACAGATATGGACTTGGAGAAGTCAGTTTCTCTCTCAGGGTTCTAATACACACATATCCTACATCCGCCGGTTACACTCTTCCTCGATCCGAACGAAGATCTCCAGAGCTCTCTTACGCTGTCCATCTTTCAACAGTGAGTGTCTTTCTCAGTGATACTTTTCCTCTCTATCGCTCTTTTCTCCTCCTTTTCTTTTTGCGTATTTGTCGCACTGACACCTAACAACAGAAGAATGAATGTTTTAATAGAACTGCGTGTAACGTTGAAGTTGGGAAATGTATTTTTACAACATGTGAACTTTTTATTCCTTTCTCTTACCTTCTTTTTGTTGTGAATTGATCCCCTTCACCCCATCACCAGACTGCAAAAAAGTAAAAACGACACAAAAAAAAAATCCTGTAACTAGGCTCTTAAGCTTTACTTTTGTTTTTGTTTACTTTTTTTATTAGAAAACAATCATGTTTGTGATGGTAACCTCTGATGGTAAATTCCACAAGGTATTTTAATAAAATCCTAAAGATTAAACCCGCTTGGTTGCTCGCTCTTTTCTGAAAAGCTGAACTTCAAACATCGTTCACAGACGGTTTTCCTTCTCTGTGACATGCACTACAGAGTTTTTTCATTTAGTAAGAACTCATCACATTGATCAAAAGTGAGAGTAAAGGCATTTATTATGTTGCAAAACATTTTTTTTTTCTAAATAAAAGCTCAAATAAATGCTTTTAAACTTTCAAAGAATCTTAAAGGGTTAGTTCATGTCGTCCCAAGCCCGTTAGACCTCCGTTCATCTTCGAAACGGTTTAAGATATTTTAGATTTAGTCTGATAGCTTTCTGTCCCTCCATTGAAAATTTATGTACGGTATACTGTCCTTGTCCAGAAAGGAAGTAAAGTAGGGCTGTCAAACGATTAATCGTGATTAATCGCATCCAAAATAAAAGTTTGTTTACGTAATATACGAGGGTGCACTGTGTATAATTTTTTTCTTGTATATAAATACACACACACATGCATGTGTATTTAAGAAAAAAAATATTATTTATATATAAAATTATATTTATAGATTTAAAATTTAATTAAATTAAAATTTTACATTTTAAGGGTTACATTTTTAAATTACATTTTTAACCCAACATTTGGGTTTGTCCATATTTGACCCAAATTTGGGTTGAAACAACCCTGCTTTGTTTAGAGTGCATCAACATTGATATTTGAGCAGCAAATCTGCATATTAGTATGATTTCTGAAGGATCATGTGACTCTGAAGACTGAAAATTCAGCTTTGCCATTACTGGAATAGTTAACTATAGTTAAAAAAATATTTTGTAATATTTCACAATATTATTGTTTTACTGTATTTGTTTCCAAATCAATGCAGCCTTGGTGATCAATGTCTTTCAAAAATCATTAAGAAATCAAATCAACCCCAAACTTTGGTATGGTGGAGTTTTAAGTAAAACACTTCAAGCAAGAAACTGTTTAAACACAAAATACTGACATAAATGTGTCCATCAGAAATTGATGGATAGTTAAAAAAGTGGATTTTACATACCAGAATTAGCACAAATTTGAATGAGTTTGCTGAAACGGTCTAAACCTGTACATAGTAAGTAACATCAGTGCAATAGGAAAGTTCTTTTAGAGGAAAGTTATTATTTTAATGCTGTTTTTTTACAGGCTACAATTTGTTGTTGTTTTTTCAGTTGAGTAATATGCATTGGTAAATGAATCATGCACAAGAAGACCAGGGACATGAATTAAGGAAAGGGGCTCAGTTGTGATTTCAATTCAACTCCAAAAATGTAATTTCTGTTGCCTAGTTTAGTTTAAATGTTTGTGAGTTTAGCCAAGAGCTTAAAACACAAGAGCTTAAAGTTTTCCAGACTTGCTCTTCTGGTGTTAGTGGTTTTGTACTCATGCAACACCTTTGGCTGTAGGGGAAAAGAAAAGCATAGTTTTGAGGTGATTAAAGGGAGGAAAGTGTTTAGCAGTGTATTTTTAGCAGGGTGCTCCCTCTGAATGTGTCCTGATGGTTGTTTATCAGCTAAAGTCCCCAGGTGCTGATGTGTTGCCAATCAGGTTAATGAGGTGTTCAGGGCATATACCCCCTACCCCCTGCTAGCTTAAATTGTTACCAAATGTCTCAGAGAAACTCCCTCTGCCGCATATAAAGCGATAGTTCACCCAAAAAGTCTTACAGATTTGTAACGACATAAGGGCGAGTCATTTACTCACCCTTATGTCGTTACAAATCTGTAAGACTTTCGTTCATCTTCAGAACACAAATCAAGATCTTTTTGATGAAATCTGAGATCTTTCTGTCCCTCCATTGACAGCC